AGTGTGTGTGTGTGTGTGTGTGTGTGTGTGTGTGTGTGTGTGTGTGTGTGTGTGTGTGTGTGTGTGTGTGTGTGTGTGTTGGGGGGGAACAAGGGTGGTAGGAAGAGGGGACAAATCAGATGAGAATCCAGGTTATGGGGAGAAGAACTGAGACTGACTGGGCAAAGGGCCTGAGACAAGTTGCTGTGGGGGATGGGAGACTGAGATTAGATGAGGACCTCATGGAAGCAGACTGCGGGGGTGGGGAGGAACAGAGTAAAGACTGGAGGCTGGCTGGGGAGAGGGGACTGAACTGGGCAAGGATACTGGGACTAGGATCAGATGCCTGAGGAGTGGACAAGGAGTGGCAGCCAAGGAGAATGGGACTTGGAGAAAAAGCTTGGGGTGGGGAAGAAATAGGATTGTGAGAGGAGAAGTTTGGAAGGGAGTGGCAGAAGGGGCCAAGCAAGAGAGGAACAGGCAAAAATTTCTCTATTACAGCATATTCTACTCCACAGGCCCGAACAGAACTCAAGATTCCTGAGTCTCTCACCATTCCTCTGCTGTCAGCAAATATATGTGAAACCAACTGACAAAGTGCATATCATTCCCTTCTAGAGCTAGCATGATGAGCTACTATTGCTATCAGTTACTCAGTTAGCTCAAGAGGCAGAGGTCTGTATAGTGAATATGAAGCTTCCAACCCTGATGATGCAGCATCTGGGTGTCACTATGAAGCTATATGATGGAAAAGACAGTTACCTTTTCTGTAATTGGTGTTCTTTGAGATGTGTTGCTCATGTCCATTCCACAGTAGGTATGCGTGCTCGCCACGTGCACCAGTGTCGGAAGTTTTTCCCCAAGCAGTAACCGTAGGGGAGCGCCACTAGCGACCCCTAGAGTGGCGCCTCCATGGCACGGTATAAAGGGTGCTGCACTCTCCCCTCACCTTCAGTTTCTTCTTGCCAGACAACTGCGACAGAGGGGAAGGAGGGCGGGATGTGGAATAGGCATGAGCAACACATCTTGAAGAACACCAGTTATGGAAAAAGTAACTGTCTTGTCTTCTTTGAGTGACTGCTCATGTGTATTCCACAATAGGTGATTCCAAGCTATATCAAGGTGGATAGGAGTTCACAAATTCTCGGGACAGAGCATGGCCCTGCTGAACCTGGTGTCTTCCCTGGTCTGGGAGACGATCGCATAGTGCGAGGTGAACGTGTGAACTGAAGACTATGTGGCAGCCTTGCAGATGTCCTGAATGGGGACATGGGCTAAAAAGGAATCAGATGAGGCTTGAGCCCTAGTCGAGTGTGCCCTTACAATCGGCGGCAAAGGGATTCCCGCCAGGTCACAACAGGTACGGATGCACAAGGTGATCCAGTTGGAGAGCCTCTGGGTGGAGATTGGCTGACTCCTCATGCGTTCAGCCGAGGAGATGAACAGCTGCGAAGACTTCCTGAACAGCTTAGTCTGTTCCAGGTAAAAGGCCAGAGCCCGTCTCACATCCAGTGTGTGGAGACGGCACTCCTCACTGGACACATGGGGCTTGGGGAGAGGACCAGCAGGAAAATGTCCTGACCCATGTGGTAGGCGGAGACCACCTTCGGGAGGAACGAAGGATGTGGGCAGAGCTGGACCTTATCCTTATGGAACACTGTGTACGGGGGCTCGGAGGTCAGGGCCCTGAATTCCGAGACCCGCCTAGCTGATGTGATACCACCAGGAAGGCTACCTTCCATGAGAGGTGCGACTAGGAGCACGTAGCTAGCAGCTCACATGGGGGACCCATCAGCCGGGCCAGCACCAAGTTCAGTCGCACTGCGGGACTGAGGGCCTAATGTACGGGAAGAGACGATCCAATCCCTTGAGGAATCGGACAGTCACAGCATGGGAGAATACTGTGTGCCCCTGCACCGGCAGGTAGAAGGCCGATATGGCCGCCAAGTGCACCTTGATGGATGAGGGTGCCAGGCCCTGGGCCCTAAGGTAAAGGAGGTAGTCCAAAATGAGCTGGATCGGGGCAGCCATGGGTGAAATGCCCTGCTCAGCCACCCATCCGGAAAACCGAGACCACTTTGCCAAGTAGGCTCAGCGCATGGAGGGTCTCTTGCTTTCCAAGAGGATGTGCTGAACCCCTTCTGAGCACGTCTTTTCCTTCCAGCCTAACCATTGAGAAGCCACGCCATGAGGTGGCGTGCCACTAGGTTGGGGTGGAGGAAGCGGCCCTGGTCCTGGGAGAGCAGGTCCGGGTGGGACAGTAACGGCCATGGCAGGGCGACTGCCAGGCTCATAAGGATCCCTTACCAATGCTGCCTGGGCCATGCTGGGGCAATCAGGAGGACCCGGGCCCTGTCCATCTTTATCTTTTCCAGGACCTTGCTGATCAGCGGGTATGGGGGGAAGGCATAGAGGAACTGGCCTGACCTGGATAGGAGGAAGGCATCGGAGATAGCGCCCCGTCCCAGCCCCCCCCAGAGCACAACTGGGGACATCAACGGTTCTGCCGAGTTGTGAACAGGTCCACTTGGGGAGTTCCCCACTCTTCGAAAAGTCTGTGCACCACCTCTGTGTGAAGAGACCACTCGCGCTGAGAGGAGAAGTCCCTGCTCAAGTGATCTGCCTGCAAGTTCCAGGTGCCCGGTAGGTGGTAGGCCTGTAGGCAAATGTCGGAGGCTATACAGAAGTCCCACAGCTTGAAGGCTTGCTGGCAGAGGATCAGGCCCTGCATTGCCTGTTGATGTAAAACATCGAGGCCGTGTTGTTCATGAGAACCCTGACCACTCTGCTCTCCAGGTGCGAGCGGAAGGCCACATATGCTAGCTGGACTGCCTTGAGCTCTTTGACGTTTGTGTGGCTGGCCAGGTCCTGTGCAGACCACAGACCTTAGGTCTGAACGTCTCCCCCATGGGCTCCCCACCCTAGGTCCGATGCATCGGACATCAGTTCCATCGACGGGGGCCTGCCTCTGAACGGGACCCCACGGAGCATGCTCCCTGGGGAGGACCACCAGTATAGGGAGGCGATCACTGGCCCGGGTACAGTGAGAACCTTGTTCATCCTGTCTCTGACCTGGGAGAACACAGAGGCCAACCTGAGTTGGAAGGGCCTCATCCTAAGTCTGGCGTGGTGAACCACATATGTGCATGCCGACACGTGACCCGAGAGCTGGAGACATGCTCTGGCTGTTGTCACTGGAAACCTTGTGACTGCGTTGATGAGCCCTTTCAGGGACTCAAACCTGTCCGGTGGGAGGGAGGCTCTGGCCGACGTGGCGTCCAGGATTGCCCCGATAAACTCTATGCGCTGTACCGGGACTAATGTGGACTTGGTGTTGTTTACCAACAGGTCCAGAGTTGCGCACGTGGACAGAAGGAGCGCCACATGATCCTGCACCTGCGACCGGGAGCTGCCCTTGACCAGCAAGTCGTCCATATAGGGGAAGATCTGGACCCCACGGTGCCTGAGGTAGGCTGCCACCACAGTCATACACTTTGTAAATACCCTGGGGGCAGTGGACAGGGCAAATGGGAGGACCGTAAATTGGTAGTGTTCCTGTCCAACCATGAAACAGAGGAAGCGCCTGTGCCCCTCGGATATATGGATGTGGAAGTACACGTCCTGCAGATCGAGGGTGGCGTACCAGTCCCTGGGATTCAGGGAGGGAATGATGGAGGCCAGGGAGACCATGCAGAACTTGAGCTTCACCATGTACTGGTTCAGGCCTCGCAGGTCCAGGATGGGTCCGAGCCCCCTTTTGGTCTTCGGGATAAGGAAATAGCGGGAGTAGTACCCCTTGTGTTTGAACTCCGCTGGCACCAGT